AATAAGCATATATATACCTAAGTCCAGGCATCCTTCTCTGATGGAAAAACTGGACTAGATCAAATAGATTATGATGATACATCAATTTCTTTACGACAATTCCTGCTAAGATCAGAATACACTGATTATTAGGGAGCTGAAATACAAGGGCCTATTGTGTGCAGACGTCCTTCACCCCATTTCATGTGCAGAGACAGAAAGATGGAGGCCAAGAGGAGACTTGGGCTTGAACTCACGGGATTCTTATCAGAATTCCAACTCTGCCATGTGCCTTTACCAGTGTGATACTTTTTTACAAAATACCAAGATTCCTGGAAAGAGATTCTGAATTGGAAATTTTTCTTGCAGGAAGTTTATTGGGGAGTGTTCTCCCGAGCAGTACCTGTCAGGGGGAGAGAGAGTGAGGCAGGTTTGAGTAAAGATAATGTGACCTGGATGAAACTGTCCCAGAAGGCATTTCTGGTGTTGAAATGGCCCTTCTGAGACATCCAAGCCTTTGAATTCTTGCAGAATCTCCCCAGGAGGTGGGGTATAGTGTCGGGCAAGGCAGCTCTCTTTGGCTACTGGAGAGCAATCTGTGGAGAGGGACCCAACAGTGGGATGATCATAGTACATACTCCAGCAGCCACAGACCTGTTCTCAGTCCTTCAAAGGAATCTGCATGGAGCACCCGGGGTCCACGGTGGTGGTGGAAGAAGGATTTGGATTCAGGAAGTCTGACCTCCATGCCCACAGTATCACGTTTTTCCCTTGAAACTCAATGACTGTTAGCATTTCCACTTTCACTACTAGAGATACGAAATCTCTGAGTTAATTAACTCACCCAACCAACATGATAAATGATTGTAGGCCCCATAAAATATAAAATACCATCAACACCCCCACACATTCCCTAGGAATTTGCCTTCTTGGATAGTAAATGAAAAGTCACATAATAGCTTCATCAAACTGTTCAACCCTCAATAGCCTGCTACAACTCAGAAGATTGAAGGGGACTCAGTGAGTGTGTGTGTGTGTGTGTGTGTGTGTGTGCACACGTGCGCTATTACAAAGCAAACGGCTATTAATTGTTTGCCCTGGATAGTGTTACTCAGGACTTCAGAAGAGTAGAAGATGGATATTACAATACACTTTATATCCAGCAGATTCTGCAAGTCTTATTTATTGCTTGTGAACACCATTTGATGAAACCTAATACCTACTTTCTGCACATTATGCAATCATTCCCTATTATTTAGGCAAGTCTTTTTGCACATCTGCAGTGTGTTTGCTAGTGATACAATGGTAAATGGAGCTTATGATTGCTGAAAAGGTTGTGTTGGGCCTTGACTCCAATATTGCAAAAGGGTTCTGCAGACATGGTTGCTCATAAATAAAGAGTATCATTTTTAAAACCTTAGCCTGTTTCACCAACCCATATCTGAGTTGTACATTGCAAAAAAAAAAAAAAAAAAGAGAGAAGGAGGGATAGATGTTAGGAAAATCAATGACTGTTTGCTCCAGCCCACGGAAGTGTCTTACAATCCACAGTGGTTCCAGTTTGCCAGTGTGAACCTGCAGGGTTAGTGTCACAATCCTCATCCTGTGCACTTACAGGACACCAGCTTCAGGTCCACAGGAACTCATGGAGGCATGCATCTGCAGGACCTCCCTCCCCAGCAGGTCTGGCAGGGCTTCTTCCTTTCCCCTTCACTGACCCTGAGGGCTGGGGAAAGACAGTGCTGCCCTCTCCTGTCTCCTGGCTCTGTCCTGCCTTGGTGTCTTGGAATCTCTGTGTCTCCCACAGGCACAAATTGTTCTCCCAGGCCTCCCTCTCCCAACTAAGAGCAGAGTCAGGCAGGACATTGGGTTTCTAAGCAGAACAGGAAAGGCTTAACTCACGATTTCATAACTTGGCAACTAGTTGGCTACTTCCCTAGGATTTGGCTTCTTTATCTCCAAAATGGATTAGGGGCAGAGGGATTATACCCACCCCAGAAATATGAGAAAATTTATATATTTTTTTGAAAGGAGTGATGTGAAAGTTCCACACAAATGATGTTCTTGTACTAAGGGCTCTGCAGACCTTCAGCTTGTAAAGAGGCCCTTATTTGCAGGAAAAAGGTGGAACCACAGTTGTCGGATTTGTTATGAAGTGATGTCAAGACACCTTCTCATGTCAGACTAACCGATATGTGACACCCCTCCTCGGGTGTTTGCCATCTCCCCTGCTCTATTTCATCCTGTTCCCTGGTTCAAATTCAACTGAGTCCAAAGCAAAATGTTACCTATTACAATTCCAAAAGCCCATTTTCTCTCATCTATTGCATATATCAACCCATCATAATAGAACAACTAGGTCAGAAGTAATTAGCCCCTCTTCAATCACCCACTAGGTCACAGCGGTGTCATGAAGCTGTCCTTGTAACATGACAGGGAACTGCATGCTTGCAATGGTTATTCCCTCTGCCTTCTATCATCAACAGGTAAGGCTTATAATCAAGTTGCCATGATGCTTTTCATTTCCCAGTATTTAGAACTTTTCTTACATCTGGAAATGTTTATCACCCATCCATTGCCTAATGTTTTTACCTGAAAGTCGACAAGGAGATGCCTTAGTAGGAACATGAGAAAACATAACATTTTGGAGCCTTCACTTCTTTGTATAGACCATTCTTCCTACCATCAATGCTGTTTCTTCTTTTCTTACTTAGAAAATTTAGAATACAAGCCTCAAATCCTGCTCAGGTGAAACTCACCTCTGGAGGAGGCTTTTCTTGATATTTTCACAAGCAGGGAGAGTATCCCTTGCTCCAAACTCTTCTATAGCACTCTATTCCTAAATCTGCACTTATTTACTTGAATATATTTCTCTTCTGCAGACTGTGAAGTCCTTAAAGGGAGGCACTGAATTTTATTCCTCTCATGATTTAGAACACTTACTATGGAATGAGCCTGCAAGTAGAAATGGAACAGACAAATAAACACACACAAATATACAAATACATTTGAATAGGCAAATAGATATATACAAATATACAAATAGATAATTTTTTCAAATGTTTACTTCTGGCCAAAATATTTACAGTTCATCTTCTTTTGGTGGTATGTCTTTAATTTTTGGAGCCCAAGCAAAATTATGTCATTTTTCAAGGAATGAAACAATGGAAAATTATACCCACAGTCGACAACTTTCCTTTCTTTGGTTCCTCTTTTCTTTACCTTGGGGAAGTTCATGATTATTTAAATTTCTGCTTTTTTTAATAGGCTTCTCTAACATGTGTAATTATTTGGTGGACTACTGGGCTAATTTAATGATGAGCTCTGTTTGATACACAGGATGGTGTCTTAGAACTTTTGCTCAGCTGAGAACTCAAAATGAAGAGCTGAATTCAAATTAAATTGTTAATTATTGGGTACCTGCAGAAAACTGGAGATGATGCCGGAAACATTGTTCACATTATCAGAGTCACAGATTGACGTTACCATCCCTTTTGTGCAGTTGAAGAAGGGAGACTCATAAGGTGCTTTGATTTGCTGGAAATTACCAGCTATGAAACCCATGCTGACTTCAGACACTCACTTCCCCACAGAGCGCTGACTGACTGGGCTTCAGACAGGGCGTGAGAAGGTTTTGCAAATATGTGGAATGGATGTTGTGCCAACCCTGAAGTTCTGGGGTCTGAGTGGCTTGGTGAGGGACTCTAGCTGGGCTTTGCATTGCTGGGAAGAATATAGAGAGGCTGGAGGTAGAGGCTGGAGGGTCTGAGTTTCATTATTTATTGTCACTCATTGGGAGCATCGAGTGTCCCTACATGAGGCCACTGCTCTGTTTACGTCCCTGGGTGGTTTTCCTGACCCCAGATGCTGCGTGGCCTGCCTCTCCCTGCAGTTTCAATTCACTGGCTCTGCTCGCTGCCTTGGGGCTGGCCACCCAGGGGGCCTCATTGCCTCCTAGCTCTTTGCTTTTACAAGAGCTGTTTATTCTTTCTAGAACTCTCTTCTCATCTTTTTTGTGCCACCTCGATAAAGCCTTTCATCCTTCAGCCCCAGCCCAAGCCGAGCATCTCTTTCTTGCGGCAGATAACGCTGATGCCCAGGGCCAGCTCGGCTTCCTTTGTGCATGGCTGATGGAGTGATCTTCCTTCTCTTGGAGGCCCTGGCTCACTCTGCCCCTACACACGCACTCATGGATTCCGTGATTGATACTTGTCTCCCCTTTCAGACTGCGAGTCCATAAGAGCAGGCGCAGGACCCTGCCGCCCGCTCAGACCTCACACATCATCTGATCGCAGACAGCTACTCTGCCTTCGTTCTCTTCCCTCTCTGAGCCCCAGACAGCCTCCAGTGTGCAAAACTCGTCTGTGGTGGGTGTTAAATCAAAATTGGTGATTCACTTTCAAACAACCATCCTCTGTTCCTTCAGAGTATTAACTCTGGTCATATCCCAGTCCACTCCTTCAAGGGCTACGTGATTCATACAGAATCAATGGAGAGAGGGAGGAATGGATACGCCTGCTACTCAGCCTATGTTTAACCTTCTTTGAGGCTTGAGCTTCAAGTGCTTGTCATGCTGCAGCGTTTTGGCCTCTGGAGGAGCCTCAGAGGGTGGGTCTGTCTATCTAGTCAAGAGCTCATGTCCAGAATAAAAGTGATTCTTTATGGAGCATTGGTAGAGGGGAGAGAGCAGCAAAACCATGAACTTTGGAAGAAGACCACCTGCACCGACAGGCTGATTCTAACACTTACGAACCTTGTGAACTTAGGTAATCTACTTAACCTATCTCTGACTCCGTTTTCCCATCTGTAAAATGGGGACAACAATAGCTTTTTACATTCTAAGTTTGCTGGGAGCATTAAACAAATTCTACATGTTTTATACCACATTGAGAAGAGTTCCCGATATACAGGACATAACATAAATATACTTTCTATCATTTTTATGTATTCAGGAGCTAGAACTGGCTGTGCCTTTGCAAGTGCCGGCCCTATAACCACTTCCTGCTACGTTTCCTGCCACTTTTCTGTCAGTTCCAGCTTCTGCCTCCCTTCTGATCTGAGTTGCTGAGTTATTAAGGTCTGAGCACGTCCTGCCCCTGATCCTACTTGGATTACAGCCGTGTTGTTTTTTTTCCTCTGTGTTTTCACAAAGGCTCAGTCTGCGCTGGTGGGAATTAGTCCTCCTGTCTCAGTTGTGCCTTAGCTCAGTCCCAAGGAAATGTGTTGCAGCAGGTTTAATCTGACACACCAGCTGTTACTGAGCGCGGGAGAGTTTGAGGAAGGCGATTCTTACCAGCAGGAGGAGACACAGTTCGGCTCCACCGTGCTAGGTGGAGCGGTAAGTCCAGAGGTCAGTGGGCCTGTCACCTCTCCCTGTCCCCGTGGGCTCCTTGCCTGGCGAGTATTAATGAAACTCTTCCTAAGGATGGGTTGCCAGGGACATTTCAAAACAGAACTGGTTATTTAGGCTCACTAATGGCATCAGAGGGCTGAGACATGACAGATGAAATGGCTAAGGAAGAGGACATCGTCCGACAGGAAGGACAAATGCCAAGTCCAGAGGTTTCATTCAACACAGGCTCCACCGCTTACGGCTTCAGTGACCCTGGTCAAGCCTCTTCCCCTCCTTGGGCCTCCCCATCTGTTAAAGGAGAGAGTTCATTCACTCCCTTGACAAACATTTACCGGGCTCCTTCTGGGTCGTAGGCACCTCTGACCAGATGGACTTTTGGGTGTTTCATGCTGGAATCATTCTGTGAAGTGTGTCTCTGAAACCTCAAATGTGGTGAATTTGGGGACAGGAACACAATAAACTGTACTGTTTTAATTTGTGTCATTAATTAGTGTAGCACATAATATGCACTCTCAAAGTGTTTGAAGATTTTTTAAAAAACCTGTCTGGTTTTCTCATTTTCTCAAAGGTTTCCGTGCCATTTTATAGATTCGGGTTTTTGTATTTACTGTCTTTCCTTTCTGTCCACCTTGTGTTCAGGTTGCTCTTCTTTTTCTGACCCTTTTTTAAGGTAGAACACAAATCACTTTTTTTTTTTTTGGTCTAAGTATAGATGGTTGTGATTTTTTTCCCCTAGCACTGCCTTAGCTGCTGCCTCAAATTGATATGTGGTGTTTTCATTATGATTATTTGAGATATTTTAGTGTCTCTTGGAATTTCTTCTCTAACCAATGTAGCAGTCATTTAATTTCTAAAAATTACTTTGTGTAAGTTCTTTGTTACCTAATAATAGACTCTTCTCTCTGTAGCCAGGAGAGGGGTTCAAATTGTTTGGTTTTTGGTGAAAGATAATCCACGTTTTATGCTATCTATAACAACAATGTTTTTTTTTTTTTTACTCCATACTTAAATCTTATTTCATATTGTTAAAATAATTCCCAGAGGTAGTCACTTCAGGTTTTGTCTTTTAGTTATGCTTATTTAAGAGGGTGCAAAGTTAACTTAGTAACACCTACTTTGGACGTTTTAAGTTTTCCTTTTTCTTACTTACTGGTTCTTTCTTATCAAACGGATAAGTCTGCTGGCATAGTGAATTCCAGTAAATGAGGTATTATTCTATCTTCCACTCACTCTATAGAGTTATCAACCAGCTATAATTAAAAATCACAAATACCACTATTTTGGGGAAAAGGATCAATGCTTTATGTTCTTCAGGAAACAAAATAACAATGTCCTTGCCCTTACGTTGCTCAGAGTAGAGATGGAAAGCCCCATTAGGGTTATGTGCAAAATAAAAAAAAAAAACAAAATTTAAAAAAAAAAAAAAAAAAAAAAAAGAAAGAAAGAAACCAAAAAACCAACCAAACAAAAAAAACAAAATAGAGGAACTTTTGTGAAAAACCGATGATTGGGTAGATAATGTGGACAATTCAAAGAAGAAACTAAAACTCAGTGTTGTCTGGGAGAACATTTTACAGAAAGACTGTGTTAAGGGAAGAGTGTATAACCTCAGGGTACTTATTTTAGGCTCAACAGCTCTTGCTGCTTAAATCCCAGGATTGTGTTTCTCTGCAAAGGTTTGGGAGGCTCTGATTCTCTGAAGCATAATAGACCATGTTGTCTAATTTGACATCCTGCCTTTGTCCTGCTCAGTGCATGACCCACCGTGGCTCTGAGATCTTTTTCTCTGCAGAGAACCTCTTCTGCTTTCTGGAGTCCCAGTTGTCCACTCTCATTGTCTCCTCACTTGTGAGTCTGTCCCAGGTGCTCCTGTGGCTAGTGATGGGACGGGCTCATATCCTGAGTCCAAACGAGGCTACAGGACCATATGGATTTCTATGCACAAAAGAAATAAATGAGGCACGATGGACTGGGAAGAGCGTCTCCAAACACACCCGCAGATTTAATTGGGTTGTGCACAGCACTTTGGGACTAAAAGTTGCAAAAGAGTTCTGTATATTATTGCTTTGAGGTCAGATCTGCTAGACCCTCAGCTATCCTCCCAGGGATGGGGAATTAAAAGAAGAAACATCAAACACAATGTCATGCTGCAGTCCTGAGGAGGGAAGCAGTGTGTGCCTTGGCAGCACTCTGTCCTGGTTTGGAAAGCAGGGCTGAAAGGCGAAACGGACAGCTTTTACAAAACCCTGTTCACCCAGGTCTCGTGTTTATCTGCAGACCTGAGCCAGCCTCCTGTCACTGGGTGTTGGAGTGTTGGCTGGGCAAGGGGAGTGTGTGTACCCTCCTACCTACCTACCACTTTACGGGGATTCAGGAACAGGAACCGGAACTTATAGTGGATCTTAGAAGGTGGATAGACGAAATGTCACTTCTAGAAATAGTTTCTCCACCCCAAGTTTAAATAACTATTCACTTCCTATTTTCTTTTGTTTATTTTATTAAAACATCTAGTTTTTGGTATAAAATAAAGACACAATCATTCCTTGCAATCCACTAGTCACTGGCATTTATTAAGGATGCCATCAAGCTGGTGGGACATGCTATTTTGTGTAGTCCTCTTGTGCTCTCTGAGAATCCACCTGAACTTGCCACTCTCTGTCACTCTCAGTCCTACTCCACAGTTTTGATACTTAGCTCAATGCTTCTTCAGCTTGTCCCTATTCACATGCCGCCTGGATAATGCTTGGCTGCGAGGATCCTCGTGTGCATTGTGCGAGGTTGAACAACACCCTAGGGTACTGCCAGATAGAAGTCAGGGGCACGTGCCTTCCACTCCCAGCCCAGTTGTGACAAGCACAAACCTCTCAAGGACATTGTCAACTACCCCTGGCAGACAAAAATCACTTCCCAGTTGAGAACCATTTTTTTTTTTAAATCTTACATTGGAATTTCTATCTTAGAACAAGGCCCCTCTTTTCCCCCCACACTTTTGATTGGTACCTTATAGTCTGACATCCTGATAGCACGACAGGCCCCCTCTTGCTCTTCCCTTTCCTTCCCCCCAAATCTCAGTTATTCTCATTTACTATTCCACTTGCATTTTAGATTCATTTAGCAAATACATTTAAAATATATTAAATTTATATATTGATTTAGGGTAAGAACTACGTTTTAAAATATTAATTATCTTATACAGTAATGTTTCTATTAAATAAAAAGAGAAATGTTTCCATTCATATCAGTATTCTCCTATATTCCAAGTTAACACATAGATTTATGACTGGTTATAACTTTAGCATTAAAATATATATTAAGGGCTATGGTTATGGCTCAGTGGTAGTGCATTTGCCTTACATGTGTGAGGCACTGGGTTCAAGTCTCAGCACTGCATATAAATAAATGAATAAAATAAAGGTCCATCAACAACTAAAAAAAATTAAAAAAATATTTTAAATTTGACTCCTTGTTTAATCCACATTATTAACTCATGGATAGGCACATAAATTATTATTTACACTTTACAAATGAGACTCAGATGCTGAATGAGGCTGTTGATTTGGATTCGAGGCCTCTTTCTGTGACCATCTGCCTCATTTGAGGATCCAACAATTGGAAAATAAGTCAACAAGGATATTAAAATATAGTGTGAGGCTGCCTACATTTAAAAGTAAAGTTGGAAACAAATACATTTCATTTTTAAATGCAAGGGGAGTCCCCTCCCTTGCTGCCCTCCCCTCCCCACCATGGTTTTGAGTTTCTTAACTTTCATGCTTTCCCTGTTGGGTCAGAAATCTTATAAATTTCCTTCATCAGATTTCTGGATCAATTTTGCAAACTCAAAGGCTTGTGTACCTTGGATGCTTTTGAGCATAACCCCCTAATTAGCAATGCTTGGGTGACATTCTGAGACGTTGGTGTCTCATTCATTTTAATGGGGTCTAGTATTTTATTTAGAGGATCAGCAGTGTGTGATAAAAAGGTGAATTATGTGGTCATGACCCGAAACTCATTATGATCATAAAACATTTGATTCTTCCCCTCCTCTTTCCCTCTCTCTACCTAGGTCCTGGAAATGGGAGAAAGCTTTGGAACATAAAATCATTGTGTTATCAGATCTTTTTGACAAAAGTTCTACCTTTAAACAATAACCCTGCCTGATTGGGAAGAGAAGATTGGTTTCTTTTTCTTCTGTCTTAGGTTGTGGGACTTAGTTCAGTAAACAGCAGGACGTAAAAGAGGAGGTGACAGAAACAGGAATGGTACCCACTAAGGAGGCAGAGAAAGCTGGGGTGGAACTGGCTGGTGGGGAGAGAGGGAGGTCCAGACCAGGTGACAGAACACGGAATCTGAGGACAACAGGCCGCAAGGAGGGACTGGCAGGTGTCTGATATTAGGTAGGACCTGAGTTTGGCTCAAATTAACAGCAACGTGTTAAGAGGAAATGATTGAAAATCCAAAGGGAGGACAGCACAGGGAAAAATTGCCCAGAAATAACCTGGCTTTGGTTTCTGAGTGAAGTTCAAGAGGAGAGAGAGGAAAAGAAGTTAGGATTAAGAAAAACCAACTCAGAGTGCTAGTTTTATGGAATTAGGAGATTGAAATAAGAGCCTACTGCAAGGAAATGTCAGAGCTTAGTTAACAAGGAAAGGGTGTGAGATCCTGCCAGAATGGGGAGCAAACATCCCTCTATATCTTGATGCATTAGGTGGGACCAGCTTCCATCCCACTGCAGGCACCAGTCAGCTTATCCATTATATTGACAAAGCTGTTGGAGCACCTGCCGTGTTTGGAGTCGGTGATGGGAATTCAGTAGAGAAAATTCAAAAGAGAAAAGTGTCCTGCTGCCATGCAGTTCATATTCTAACAGAGAGAGAGAGAGAGAGAGAGAGAGAGAGAGAGACAACATAACGAATAGGTAGTATTAAATAAATAAGATGTACTGTATGCTAGAAAGCTATTAGTAATACAAAAATGGTATGCAGTAAAATGAATTAAGTGTTCCAGGTGTCAAATCAAAATAAATACAGACTTAGATAAAGGGGAACTTGATTTTAAAAGACAATTGCAATAAGAAGGGTTCTTTGATCTCAGAAATCTGAAGCATCTCAAAATCAAACAGGAAAGGGCTTATTGTTCATAGAGAAGGGAAGGCAGAACTAGCCTGAAGTTTGCAGGGGAGGGGGGAAGAAAGTGGGGGGGAGCAGGTGGCAGAAGAGGCTTCCTCAGTAGAGATGTTTTTCTTTGTGGCTGGCTTGTTATCAAAATAAGCTGTTGAGGGGGGATGTTCCACATTTTAGTGGTTTTGTGTTCATTAAAACTTGAATGCAAGCCAAAGTTCAGGGCCTTGGCTGAAGTTTGATCAAGCCAAAGTTAGATGGGTGAGTCGTAGGCAATTGTGAGTACCTGGTCACAAGGAGAGGTGTTCAGGTGTAAGGTAAAATAGAGTGATTGGTGAGGAACTGACATATTAGCCG